TTTGAACGTAGACTTGCCTCCGGAAACTAAGAATATGGCTGAACTCTGGTTATGAAATCTCGATTCTGAGAAAGGTTATAGGGGACATAAGGCTCAAACCTAGGTATCTAAGGATATTTTCAAGTATGATGTGAGGAATTGACGGGCATACATTTGATAGGATTGAGCGAGTTGCGGGTGTTATCAACCTCCGTGCTTTCAGTAGTTGTTGGTTCACCACTATTTCTCCACCTTGTTGAAGGAAAGTATCTACAACTGCAAGACTGGAGAGGTATATACATCCTGGAGAAAATAATTATATTTTTAGGCTGAACTTTGGTTCCGATAGCAATAATGTACCCCTGTATTTTAATTCCTTCGATAGAATTGAAGAGTATGACTTGCTCTCTGGATGGAAATTTAAAGTTCTGGACTGCAATAGAGTATGAGTTGGATTAAACATTTGATTGATTACTTTGACTGTCCCTGTAGTCAGAAACACTCGGAATTTTAGAGGAGTTCATGGTAATATTAGAAATATATGCCGATAATATTGGGCATACCCCTCTGGAAAAAACACTTTATCTTTCGCTTAGGAAAAAAGTATCACCTATATAAATTGAAGTTGAGATCCTGCTACACTTTTTACACCTTTTTTAGTTTTATCACTTGTAGATTTTATTAGTGGAAACCACAATTATTCACTACGGATTGTCAGAGTCGACTGTCTGAACATTTGTTGATATTCAACTCAAGGTGGTTTGTAGTACACCATACATATACGATATTCAGGTCATGCTATAATGAAATGCAAATCTTGAGTTGTAGAGATACTTTTATGAATTTTCAAGTTATCAGCATATAATAGAATGGAGTAAGGAGTATACAGTCCCTCACCGTTTTTACATTTTTAAAAACTCTAAAATCGTCTGCGAAAAAAGCAAACCGGATGAATAATTCAGCACTGAAGGTAGATCATTAATAAACAATGAAAACAATAGAGGCCCCAAATTAGAGCCTTGTGGGACTCCGAAAGTTATAGTCGCCTATCGAAAAGATATGACTCACATAAGGAAAATAGTTTAAGAGAGAATCCGAAAAAACTGAGGTTTCGTAATAAAATATACAGGTAATTTCTGTAAAAGGCACACATCTTGAAATTGCTTGTATGTCACAGCTGGTGTCATCTGGTCCGAAAAAATATGATTCAGATTGATATCATCTTGTTTGAACAGCACAAAGAAATTTGCATCATTTCGAATTGTTTTGAGACTTGTGAATATGTTTGGGCTAAATAGAAGCAATCCACATTTTTATTACGACCCATACTGAAATATGATCGTATAATATCCTGTTTCCCACACATAACATCATCAAAAATGAATATCGAATATCACAAATTTCCTTCATTATAACATCCAGTTTGAATAATCTCAATAGACATATCACTGCAATTCAGTACACACATTTTACGCAGAGGTGAACGTTTCAGAATATTTGTACGTGTTGTTGATAGATAAAAAAGGATCATCCACTCTAGAGGTTGTTCTGCGTACATTGCAATTGCGTTTTTGCAGAATATTTGGGTCAATAATTAAATTATTGATCAGTTTGAAAAGAAAAATTGTGGAGTGACAATCACGACGGTAACTGAAGTTATTCATATCATATATAGCTAACAATGCATCATGGGGAAATCCAAATCGTGGATAGATGTCTGATCTATAGGAGACAAGTTTTAGGAAACGACGTTGTATACTAATTCAACTTTCTCTATATACAGCTGATGAGATGGATTCCAGATTATGGATGCATATTCCAATTTTGATCTGAAGAAAGCATAGTATAAGTGGACCGTGTTAGGAATCACACGTTAAAAGGTAAGACCTCGTTAATCCTTAGCTCGCAAAAGTTTCAACTTCTGAGGGTTGTCGTTCTTAGAGGTGCGACAGCTGGTTAACGGGAATACAGATTTTAAACAGATTTAAACAGATGTAGATGGACTCGAAAAATCTCTGGATATTCGCGCAATGAATCCATACATCCTGTTTACAGCAGACAGAGTGGCTTCAATGTGTGGCACGAAGGAAAGTTTTGTGTCGTAGGTAACACCTAAATCGGTGAATGTGAGAGGCCGTTGAAGTGGATTATCGTTTATTAGATATTGATGTGAAAATGGCTGATTTTTAAGTGTGTCATTACATTACATTTACTCACATTCAAAGGAAGATTGTTGCGAAAACACCATTGCTCAACACGTTTCATATTTAGGGAGAGTTGAAGACAGACCCTGATGCCTTTAATCTCACAATATATCTGCATGACAGTGAAATATGATGCAAAAAGTTGGATGAGGGTCAGAGAAAAGTAGTAACTGTACAATTTCGATAGCAGTAATCCATGACCAAGTATGTCGAACCTCTAAGAGAAGCCAGTATATATGACATCAGTTTGAGATCTCCTATCAATGGTTAGAAATATATTGGGATAATATTGAAAAGGTTGGTGATTGTCGGGCGACCTTTCAGAAAACCATGAGGATTTAACCTGTTATAGATAAGGATTTCAAACACTATGGCGAAGTTGCTTATTATTGATATTGGTTCATAATTACCGAAATCAAACTTATCATTTAGGGAAGCACCCTGTATGTATGTTTTGTATGTTATACATCTTTCATTATCATTTCATATCATCTAGTAACACAAGGAAACAAAAAGTCAACTCACTGTTAGGTTCCAATTCGTCATCACGTGAAGAGACATTGGAGAAACAATCTGAAGAGTTCAAAATTTTGGAGTGGGAGAACCCGAATGTTTTGGTTGATCTATTGAGATATTTGATTGAAGCATAATGATGGAGAAATCACTCTGATTACTGAACTTAAAAATGCTGGTATAATAAATGAACTACTCTCTGAATAAACAATGTGAAAAAAATTCTTCGTCTACGAGAGTATGATAGACTTTGAATATTTCAAAGAGCTGAATCGTGTTGGATGGCTACGGAGTAAATTGTAAAATTATTCTCAGAACAAATGGAGTGACTCTTTTTGGATGAAAGGTAGATATATGAAGATGTGTAGGAAATCCGACGATCGTTGTGTCAGACAATTCGATAATTATATTAATTATTAAGTAATATAGGTTCCCCAGCTTGAAAATTAAGATCAACTACCAAACAGCACATATGGCTGGTGTGACCTTGCCAAAACGTCGTCGAACAGATGTACACCAGGAATACCACTTCATCGCCATATTTGAAAATAATTAATTAGCAGGCAACCATGTGAACATAATCAAACATTTCAAAAGATTTTCGGGAATAATCAGAAAGTTGAAATTCCACTTGCTGAATTTGAAAATGTATTTCATATGTACACATAACAAAATATTCAAGAAAAATATATACCAATTTGAAATTATTCCCCTAGACTCTCATTTATTCTGACGTATTTCGCCTCCGACATTCAGACCGCTCCTTCATCGTCCTATCCACGGCCATTTTGTGTCTGAATATCATGAAAACTGATGATACATACACTTCAAATATAATTAATTACGATCATAATATGAAGGTGTAACAAGAGTAAAATTCAAAATTATATGCAATAACCAGAAGCACCTACAGACGTTGTTAATTTTCGGCAGGATTATACGAAGTGAAAAACTGTTCGGGCAATCACGAACCTTGGCGCCCAAGGTGTGTGGCGCCCACTTACTGTTCCGTTCAGTTTTTCTTCAGTATTGTCATTGTCAGTATTATAGAGACGACAGTGGCGTTACGGACTATCCTAGCAATGAAAGTTAAATATAAGCTAATTTGGAACGCTGGCAATCACGACGCTTTTGTACCACACACCGACTGGAAGGAATGATAATTTTGCACAATATTTTCATTCTACTGGCAATTGTATGCCCGTCATTTATTTGTGGATGCCAACAAAGGATTTTTGAATGGTTATGATAATGATTGAACTGAAGCGTCTTAGAGAAATCATAGATATGTGAGTTGTCAATGATTTATTCAAAGTCGAGCCTGAAAAAAAAATTTTTCATCCGAAGAATATACGGCGGCGAATACCCTTCAATTATTATTATATATGTTTTTGATTTTGTGGATTCCCAAATAGTAAAGGTGATTATTAAAACTGGGACGTTGAAAAACGGAAGTGTCACTCTTCTCGAAAAGGTTTCAGGGTTATATACAGGTTTTGTATTTTAGATAGTTGTGAATTACCAGCTGAAATGTGTAGTTCATTTCATTCAGTAGCGAATTGAATCATTCATTCATTATATTTTTCATTGTGCAAACTCACCTTTCCATTCTTTTTCCAGAAGACAAGCATGGAATAAAATGAAATTAGTGAATTTGTATATTTCTTTTTACATCGAATGTGTATTGAGTCTGATTAGGTATTCATTGTGATATCTCAAAGAATTTCACATAACAAACAAACATTCGAAAAAAAATATAATTCAAATGATAGATACATATCTGTCGGTTGAATATGTGAGCGGATGGACGAAATATCTGAGATTGATGAAACGACAACCATCATAGAGAAAAAAGTAGTGCCACCAAATTGCTTTAATGACTATGATAGAAAAAAAAAACGCAAATTCGACATGAATCCGACGATATTTACAGAAATTGAGTCTTGAATGAGGTGGCGAGGAAACTGTATGTACTTCATTCCTGTTGTGAACATAGAAATTTGTTCGAATTGAAATAGAACATAGAAAACTTATTTCACGTATTACATGACTTTACTTCAATGTCAAGTTGAGTTAAATGAGATCTCAGCCCATATGGAAAATATGCCAAGAAATCTAACTCAAATTGAGTAAAAATATTGGAAACATAGAAAAATTAACTGTTTTTTTTTTCAATTTTACTTGTGAATTTCCATAACTACAGGGAATGAATTAAATAGTATCATTACAATGCAATTGGTGAATATTTGTATCACATATTCTCATTTTCACCACGTCAGCTGATAAAAAAATGGAAATGCTTACCATCCACCCTGGTAATCCAATTTCACCGATGCCTCCAGGAGGTCCGGGAGGACCAATTGGTCCTGGTTTACCTCTTCTTCCTCTCTTACCCATGTCCCCCTTCTCGCCCTGAAAATGTAAAACTCCTTTGGAGATTATTGAGTATACATTGTGTTCCTGCGAAATCAATCACCGATCAAAACTGTAAATTGAATCAATCATTATTTCAAACAGGACGTATTTCACTGATGACGCCCTCAGTATGTATTATTATACACCCCCTAATATCTCAAAAATTCCTAATTCAAATTATCTAATTATGTTGGTGATTCATTAGTAGATCATATATAGTATAGTAATAGCATAATTACCGTTAGGGTGTCATAAAAATGGTTGATACCTATTTTTCGAAAGAATGTCTCTTGAATAATAATGAATGCGAGACTAGGAGAGCTGTTGAGGTGGAAAGAATGAAGATGGAGATAACATATGATAATGTTTATCAAGGAAGCGCAATATCAAAAACTAACTCTTTCTAAAGTTCATTTCAAACAGCAGAAATATTGTTAACAATCATTCTCATTCGAAAGTGACATTAAATAATGAATTCGAAATTTCAATTGACACACAATACTTTCCCCCTCTTCTTTTGAATATTAGAATGCGAAGCACTCTACCTTCATGATACATAAATAAATCAATTCCACAGAGTGTATCGAAGAAAATTAAAAAAACTATATACCCCCCCTACCTCCAACCAATAAAAACAAATTTCCTATCATACCTGTATCCATGTATCCAATATAGAGAAAATTCAATAGAAGGAAATACAAACTTCATATATAACAATTTAACATCTTGAAAGATTTTAGAAACTGAAATTATCGAATGTTAGGGAGCAATCGATATTCAATTTCTAGTTACAGGCCAATTTCGCTTATTTTATGCATCAACAAAACATTTCAGTGACTTCGGAATTACCCATTTTACAATATGGTTATCGGCGTGGAATGAGAACTATAGAAGCAATAGTTTATGATATACAAAATACTTCTGGACTGCCTGTATTTGTCGATCTCAAAGGTGCCTATGATACAGTTGATTTGAATGTTCTAGATGAATGTTCGATTTCACTAGGCATCAGTCAATAATATTACTGGAGTTTTTTCCCAACACCAAATCGTTATTTTTAACACCTCGACACGTGTTTCGATCACTAAGTGACATCTTCAAAGAGGAAGATTAAACAGTTCAATCAGTCGTGGTGTTAAAAATAACGATTTGGTGTTGGGAAAAAACTCCAGTAATATTCATAACTACACCAAAGGTTCCAAGCAGTGCATCATGAGTATGCATCAGTCCACAAACTTCATATAATATTGTGAATTCGGAAATAGAAATATTTATATTAGAGATCAGAGCAATGTTCTGCACGGACCAAAGTGGTATATCATGCTAGCGTTCAAGGGCCCATTATCATTCAATAATAATACCTACAACTAACAGAATTATTTCATAATTGAATACTGGCCGATACTTGATGAAAATCCATATTTGAACTAATTCATTCAGTTTGTAGTGAAAATCAAACAATAAACTATATTAATTAGTTATAACTATTTTGGTACGACAAATGTGTACAATATACAGACGATTTTTGTATTTATACCACACAGAGCAACTACAATCAATGTTTAGAAGTACTGAAATATATCGTTTATTGCCTAAAATATGGTTAAGTGATAACTCCTTACAATTTCTCCCGATAAATCAGATGTAGTATTTTTCTCTGGACAAAAAATATACTTATTTGACAGCATACCCTGAATGGTTTAAAATACCCAATGAAAAATATGAATGTTTGGGTATAATATTAGGCTCTAAACTCCTTTGTAGCAGCAAAGTGTCAGAAGTGGGAAAACGTAGAATTTGATAAAATGTCAAATTCTCCATAAACTCTATGAAAGAAGCTAAAGGGTTCCATTCGTTTGGGTTAGTATTGCAGAACTAGTCAAAAAAGCCACAAAACCACCTATAATAACCAATCCTGGAGTAACGAAATGAAAAATCGGTGAAATACTTCCTGGATGAAGTTTGTACAAAACACTTCCAATCACTATGAACTAATAAAACCTACCTTACCAGTTCGCATCTAGCATATTGATAATATATATCATTGTATTCAGAGCTTATAGTGTATCCATCACTTTGTTAAGACTAAGTCATGAATTGCATCGTACCACCATTAGAGGAAAAAGCCTATCCAGCATCCAAACTGTCACTTCATGCTGAATTTGCTGAATCGACCTGAAGACCCAACTCCATTTTTATGTCAGTTAGCTGCTAGTTTCCAAACTGTTAACATATCTGTATTTACGAATCTTCACAGTTTGTACTTGAAATAACTTATTGGACAAACACTTCGTTGAGGGATTTTGACTTAACGTGTTTAGTGGAAATCTCACAATGAAGTTTTTTTATGAATACGTTAGTTATGGATTTTCATTAAGTATCGGCCAATTCTATCATGTACTTGAGATATATTGTTTGAATGACTTTGCGTGGCGCAGTCGTGGTAGGATTAACAGACTTGTTTCGAATCGTTCGTGCAATTTTTGTTTCAACGATCAACTGATTTTTGAACCGATATCAACATGGTGCATCTTTGTTTTGAATTTTTGAATTTCTGTTTCGGGGTGGCTTTTCAATTATCTGAACATCTAGTCTATTGCAGACCCGCACACAACCTGTCAAGGATCGTATCATCGGAATTTGTGTCCTATAAAGTCCGAATTCGCAAAGAGCATCAGACTGGGAAAGACGAAAACCACCCGACAGAATAATTGTTGTTATCGATGTATCCATTTCGTTCCAGATACTGCAACATTTCTTCACTAGTCACATTTTCACAAGTAGTAAGATACGGAAAAAATATGACTATCTACAACAACATTTCGAACAATACAGATTTTTTGAATCATTTTTCATTTTTATAAGGGGTAATCTCTATATTGGATATATGATGTTTGGTTACAAAATATGAGGTATGAAAAACTCAAATAGATGCTTCAAATAATAGGGGGTTTGGTCCTTGGGTATGCATGAGTGAGATGATGATGACGTCAGCGTAAGGTTACGGAAAAACATAGGGCACTCAGCCGTATATTGGTTAACTAAATAATATTGTAAATCTGAATAATGGTTGGAGATCAAAAATCATCTACAGAGTATCAAAAACATCTTAAAAGCGTCAAACGTCGATTTGTCGAAACGTCGACGTTTAATCGATGCGTTGAAGCGTCGAAACATCACAAGAAAACATCTACAAAAAGTCGACGAGAACCCCACATGTTTTATTTATTCGTTTTCGAGCCATTTTGTATTTCATATTCAAGTTATTGTCTTGCCGAAGTTCTGAAATATATTGAAAGCTTGACAAACATTTTTTTGTATCAGCCCAGCTATTGATTCAGTTTAATTACTCACTTTTATGGCAACAATATGTCCATTTTTTTCCGATTTCTCAACAACTCCAGGAGGTCCTCGCTCTCCTTTGTCTCCTTTTGTACCAGATGGACCAACTGGACCAATTTCTCCATTTTGTCCTGGTTCACCTTTAACTCCTGGTTTTCCCGGAGTTCCTGGAGTGGCTGGTATTCCTGGAATACCTTCTTCACCTTTGTCACCTAAAGAATATACAAAGAACTTTGTGAACTCAGAATCGGGATACAAGCATGGATCTCCCACCCCAGTCAATATTTTGTATTGTGTCAAGGACTGTAAAGAATTTTCACATCAGACGGTTCAAAAGAGAAGATGATAATGATGTAGATAATGTACCAGAAGCTGAAAAATAATTCAAAAGGTCCTCGGTTGCAGTCAATACATCACTCTTATCAGCAATCTACGATTCTGATCGGAAAAAATAATAAAATTGTTGGGCGTAGCGTAACCTGAGTGGATATGTAAATGTTAGGATATCTAAGAAATTCTAGGTTGCTAAGTGGAATCACAAATATTGCGGTAGGCTCCTGTTGTTGACTCCGTTCGTTTGTGCTGTCTTTCCTTTATCGGCAACCAAGTGTTGCCCATCTTTGCACTTGGATTCACCTCACTGATGGGACCAATAACTGGGAACATGAAATTTATTTCATAAATGTATATTTCATGTGATCACTTCTTTTGGAAATGGCGATGCAGAAGCCATTTTTTCATTTTCACCGTGAAGGCACCATGACAAAATTAGTGAAACTATTAATAACTGATCAAAGTATAAACACATGACAAAATAACTTCTTTTTTGGCAACTTTTCCCTGACAAAGTGGAATATCACTTTTGTTTTCGAATTCTCAGTATTCTCATCCAATATTCGAATGGAGCTGAAGATACTAGCCATTCAATGTTTTGATCTATTGAAGCCGTCTTGATTTTTCCATAGAAAAAAGTTTCAATATTATGGATTAATGGATAGCACTATCTGATGAGATTTTGTAATAATTTGGGTGAAAATACCATTTCATGAACTGAAATGCATCTTGATTGTTGAAATATTGACTTCTGTGAAGTGTTCACTGGCAACTCAGCAAACTTCGTCCTTTGTCTCATGCGCCGTCGTAAGCTCATGCGCCCTTTGTAGTTTCAATCTACTAAAGCTGCCCTGATTTTTTCGTAGAAAGGAGTTTCAATAATATTGATAGATATCACTTTCTAATGAGATTCCTGTGATCTTTTGGAAGGAAATGTTATTTCATGAACTAAAATGCATCTTGATGTTGAAATATTGACTTCTTCAAAGTGTTCACCTAAAACTCAGCAAACTTCATCTTTTGTCTCATGCGCCGTCGATCTCTCATGCGCCGTCATTTTGAAGTCTCCTCGTCTTTCATTTGTAGATGTTGAAAACATTATTTGGGACACTAATATGTTATTCAGAAGCTTTTGTGAAGCAAATTTTTGTATTGGTCATGATACAGAGACGTAGCAATTCACATATCATCACTGACGTATGAATGATAATTTCTTCAATTGTCTTGAATACTTCATTCTACAGACTGATAAAATGATATTAGTTAAAGAAATATGCGACATAGCAGCCAGAATGTGTTCGAGTGTAGGTCATAAACTTGATATTACCCTCCGACAATCTTTTTCTCGGAATATTCAAAAATGATCCTGATTAAATTCCAAATGAATTATTTTGTCAGGACATGGTTTACATGAATGAAATTCCACATATGACCTAAAAAGCCTCTTGCTAGATTTTGCTCATTTGAACGTTCCCACGAAAAGCTTTCAGATTTGAAATATGTCTCCTGAATATCTTGCTTTTCATAAATTTCTCTCGTCAAATTCAAGAGTTTCATGAAAAAAACTGCAATCTCCAGAGTTATTCCCACGATTTTATGTTTGCGACATTTTTTTTTATCTACAGAATGAGAACGGAATAATTTTACTTGGAGTCACTCGACAGCAATTGTGAAAAATTGTAATTTTTTTATAAGAACTGAAGGTATAGAAAAATTCAAATTAAATTGATAAATTTGACGTTTCATCCTTCCATTCAGTTGTTCATAACTTTCATTTTGTAAAAAGAAGGTACCTACTTTATTCAATGATACTGACCACCTTATCTCTACAACGGATCACCTCGATAATATCAAAATCTCACTCTCATACGTCAAACCGTTCTCTCACTCTTACACACACACCTCCTATGAAAGATGAATTCTTCCGCAAATCAAAAGATATTTCCCCACCTTCCCTAACATTCTACGGATATCAAGAAATAAGGTTGAGTATAGAAAATGAGCCAATTTCTCCCCGACAAAACAAACACTTCCAAGATCTCACGTTGGTGTCGAGGCTAAGGACCTAGTCTAACACGACGATAACCTGGGTTCAATTCTCCAACCGATAATTTCATTATTTTAATTCACGTGGAATTGCTAAACGACATCATATAGTTATAAGCTGAAAACGGGCAAAAAATTTTATTTGGAAAAATGAACAGCATCAATGTATAGAGTACAAAATTCTTTATCGATAAGTATGGACAAAACTTTTGACCTACAAATATCAAGACCTCAGTAACATTCTATGATTATATTCTGAGAATACCACCTTCTTCGAACTTCTGAATGAAAATTTCAATCATTTTTTCTGTTCAAACGAATAATTGAATACATTTTGATCAATAGAAAGTTCCATCGATTTTTTGAATACTTCTTCACCAGATATAGAAACGGCGGGTTCATCTCAGTAGTTCCAAAACAATAACAAAAAGCAATGGAGTTCACAACTTGGTGTACGGAATACAATATCGCATGTGAATTCGTTTCAGTCTCTTTCTCTACACTTTACACCAATAGCAATTGATCAAACAATGATCAACTTCATAAATAACCATTAACGACCTCCAAGCAATGGGACGTGAGAAATTTCAGTGATCTTTCATTTCAATATATTTTTTAATCGATAATAATGTCGATTTTTAAAATTGTCATTGAAACCTAATTGGTGAATACCAAAATTAAATTCATTTGAAATTTTTCCGCAGATTTATTACATCTGAATTTCATCTTTTTATGACACTGTCCATATCTTTTTTGATTTTCTGATGAACTACTAGAGGAACTTATAGATCGATAATACTGCGAATGTGAGGTGGTACTTGGTTAAATAATACCGCATTCGGTGGTTTTCTCAAGCCTTTCACAATACTCCGGCCAGAAGATTAGAGAAAGGCCAGTTAATCCATATTATCACCTTGATTTATGCAGCTGTCAGGAATTTTTCACAGCTTTATCTGAACATTGACTAATCGAAGAAAAATACTACTTTCTGCCTGTGATAGAGACACGATGAAGACTTATGGTTTAGTGGGCTCTACCTACTACTCCCATATTTTTTGGTTTGTTTGATAACAATCGGCTCTTTTCTCTTCATTTTCTGAGAATAGCAAGAAACTCCCAAATTATATTTTCTCGAGCAGTGCCTTTGCTTATATTCATTGATCTCATTACCATGAGAGGATCTAAATATGCGAAAAAATTTCTCAGAAAGTAATACGCTAAACGTCTTTTTTCAGATAGCAGATCACTGGCAAAAGTCAATATAGCGCTGGTACCTAGATTGAAATTATTATATCTTCCTAATATGATGTGGGGGAATTCAATATACTCGATATAGCAGTTCCCGCTCCATTGTCTCGTCAATACTATGATATTCCAGAATGGTTTCAAAATTGATGAATATTTCATTTAGTTCTTTCACAAGAGGTTGTATTTTACACATTTTGTTGCCGACATTATCGTTAAAATGAAAACCATAGTCGAACATTTTTCAATTCTAGAATTATAATCACCGGCAGTAATACTACCGATGAAGCTACGATGTTAACGGAACGCATTCACAATTGAAAAATATCTGTGAAATCTTTTACCTATTATCATGGATATAGTTGAATCTGATTTTAGGGTCAGCAGTACTCATTCACTATTATGCTATTAGCATCATCATTACCTTTCCAATACAAGAACTTCTGGAAAAATATTGACAAACACTCAGTAATAGAACTCAAAAAATATATCATTTCATTAGGACTCAATCCTATATGTATAATTTTTGAGTAGAATAAATATTAGTATAATCAGTTATTATTTGCTTTATTTCATAATCAAAAAATATATTTTATGATAACCGATTACTTGATACTTGTACATCTTTTCTTAGAGCCATGTCGAATAAAATATCTCTCTCAACCCAGATTCTGAAATATTTTTTTGTACCTTGTGAAACTGACAAGAGATAATTTTTTCTTAATTTTTCTGAAAGAAGTAATTTTTAATAATTCCCTTATTCTCCACGCCATCTCTTCCGCCATGAAACTTTAATCCATCTTTGTTTTTCACATTATTTTCATCGCTTGAGATCAATTTCTGCGTTAAGATGCCCCGCAGAAAGATTGTCGTCCGTATCTCCCTCATTAGCAATAATCGGTGGAAAAAGCACAGTAGCATCCGGTAACTTACTATCGTCATGGATATTTTTCATTTCTTCCATGAGCTTAGGGGCTTTGAAATTCCCCTCGTAATAATAGTAACAATAAAATCTAAAGTTGTTCACATCACTGACTATTATTCAGACCTGAAACTATTGTTGCATAAGCGCCATCTATCCGAGAATGGATAATATTCTTGAAATATAGGGATTCAAATCTGACTTCCTTATTTCTTTTTGAAAGATGTAGATTATTCCCATATCTGAATTGTTTTTGAGTTTTTGAGTAAATAACAATTTCAGTGCGGTGTTTTGATTCTCAATAGTTATGTGATTGCCTTTGCCGTTGCTCAGATCTGTTTTGTAGAATCGTAGACAGTCTTTTGAAGAATAGAGTTTTTCTATACTTCATACGATTTCCTGGTGGTTTGTGTAGTGAGAAAATATTGAGTTAATTTCAAAATAATTGACCAACTTACGAAGTCTGGGCATTTATCTATCTGGTAAATGAAATTGAGTTTCGGCAACACCCTTGTATGTTTGGAATATAATTCAACGCAGTTGGATGTTAGTACATAGGTACTTTGAAAAGTCGATCACTGACAGAGTGCAAAACAAAAAATTAGAGAGTATGTACGCACGCGGTGGTTTGTCGTATTGGAAATTGTGAATTGTCATTGCGTTCAA